TTTCTTCTATTCTTTTCCTACTTTTTCTATGTATCCCTTTCTCTTTCATTGTTTGCCATATTTTCTTCCTCTTTATTTTATCAAAAGCGGCCTTCATGTCTGCAAAGAATACGAACAGTTTTCCTCCTTTTTCCCTTATTTCCTTCCCTATTATTGTTTTTAATATATATATTGCGTCCATTGTTCCTCTTTTCTTCCTAAATCCCATCTGCGTATGACTTAGCGTTTATTTAGCTTCTAGTTCTCTTTCCAGCTTTTTCCTCAGTATTTCCGCATATATTTTATATCCCGTATCCATCAGCGTTATTCCTCTATAGTTTCCTACTTCTTTTTTCCTCCCTTTCTTATATATTAGTACTATTATTCCCTTCCTCCATTCTTCCGGATATCCTTCTCCGTTCCATATTCCGTTTAAGCATTTTGTCATATCTTTTATCAAGCCTTCCGTACCTTCCACCCACGCTTCATTTGCTATACCATCTTCTCCTGTCGCCTTTTTCTTTTTCATTTTTCTTATTACCTCTTTTACTTCTCTTTCTTTAATTTCTTCACCTTCTCCTCTTTCGCTGTCTTCGGTTTCTTCCCCTTTGCTTTCTTCCTTTTCTTTCTCTCCCAGTTGTCCCTTGAAGTGCTTTAACCACTCTTCTTTTCCTATATTTTCATCTAATCCAATTCTTTTCTTCCTATTGCCATTCACTTTATCCCAGAATTTTCTTCTCGTCTTATCTTTTCTTATTTCTTCTGCCACTCTTCTTCTTTTACTTTTCTTATTTCCTCTCTGTATTCTCTCTTTGCTTCTAAGTATCTGCCTCTGTCTCCTTCCCTTTTCTTACCTTATTTAACTCTGCCATCACCCTATCCCTTTTTGCCTTACATTCATTTCTCCACCAGTTTTTTTTTATCCTTTTTTTCCTTATCTTCTTTTTTACAACTGCGTTCTTCACTCTATTTTTTATATCTTTCCATTTTTCTGTTCCCTCTATTGCGCCTATCCATCTCTGATACTCCCTTATACCTTCTTCGCTCCAGTCGTCTATCATTCTTTCTTCCTCTTCTTTTCTTTCTTCCGCTATTTTGTCTCCCAATTCCACCTCTATTGGTAAGTGGTCCGACTTTACCCTTTCCTTTATTTGAACCCTTTTTATCGCCTCATCACCTTCCTCGTTACCTACTACATAGTCTATTGTTAACGTTCCTCTCGCTCCTATATATGTTATTTCTCCCTCTTCATCTCCTTCTTTTCTCCCATTCGTTATCACTAAGCCCATTTCTCCTAGCCATTTTATCATTTCTTCTCCCTCTGCGTTTATCACTTTATCCTTGGCCTTTATTTCCTCTAGGTTTTCTTCTGTCTCCCATTCTCTTCCTTCGTTTCCTGTTCTTGCGTTGAAGTCTCCTCCTATAATTATTGTTTTTCCTCTGTTCTCCTCTATCTCTTCGCTTAGGTATTCATAGTTTTCCTTCTTCTCATGTTGCATATACACCGATGCTATCATGTGTTCCCTCCCTCCGATCTTTATCTCTCCTACTATTACCTTACTTGTCCTTTCTTTCTTCCATTCAATCTTACTCATCCCTTTCCTCTCTCTTACCGCCATTATTCCTCCCCCTATTTCTCTCCCCCTTCTTCCTTCCCTTCTTGAGTCCCTCCACTCTATGCTATACCCTTTCGGTTGTTTCTTCACACCAGTTCTTGCCCCTTGTCTCTTCACCCAGGTTTCCGTTAGCCCTATTATGTCGAATTCCCTAACATATTCCCAGTCGTCTTCCTCCATGCTCCTCACCCCCGCCACGTTCCAGAATAGTATTTTTACTGCCTTTCTCCCCTCTCTCTCCCTTCTCTCCTCTCTCTCTCTTTTATCTCTATTGTTTTCGAAACCCTTCCACCCCCTTTCCTACCATTTTTCCCTCTCTCTCGCTCCACCATCATTCTTCTTCCTCTGACTTCACCCCGTTATGCCACATCTTTACCTCTTTACCTTTACTTTTTATTTCTTTCGCTTTCCTTTTTACTTCCTCTCTTATCCTTCTCTGCTTCCACGTCCAGTCCTGATCTATGTATATCTTTTTCTGTGCCAGATTCTTTTTCTTCATAATTCCTACTTTTTGTTCCCATGAAGCGCATCTAATTTGCCACATGTTTTTCCTTCTTTCTCTTCGATCATCGCTCTTCGCTGTTCCTCCTATTCTTCTCAGATTCATTATCTCTCCTTTCATTTCTAGTACCTTCCTTGACCAGACCTCTGCCTCTTCCTTCTTTTCCCATCTTAACTCACCCTCTAAGTCTGTCACTATTATATTGTTTAACCTACATTCTCTATCCATTTTTTCTCTCATATGCTCTAATTCTTCCTTATTGTTTACTTCTGTTCCTCTTTGCTTCTTGTTTCCTCCTTCTTGCTTTCTTTTAGTTTCACGCACTCCTCTTCCAACTGGTCCATCCTCTCTCCCCATTTTTCCTGCAGTTTCTTTTCTCTACGTTCTGCTTTTTCCCTTTCTTCTTTCGTCTCTTTCTTTCTTTCTTCTTTCTCTCTCTCTTGTTCTTTCCTAACTTTTCCTATTTCCTTCACCCATCTTTCTTCTCTTCTTTTCCCCTCTGCCTCCATTTTTTCCATTTTTCCCATTATTTCTTTAAACATTTCTGTCCGTTCTTTCCTTTCCTCCTCCCATACCTCTCTTAATTCCCTTATATCTGTCCGTATCTTTTCCATTATATCTCCTGCACCACTACTTTTTCCCACTTTCTTATCGTGTTGTCCAATCCTTCTCCCCCATCCCCATCCATCTCGCTTCCCTCGCTCTCACTCTTGCATCTCTTTGCCTCTCTCATTTCTCCTCTAATATTCTCCCTCAACCCCTGCCCGCTCTCTCTCCCCCTCACCACCTTTACTCTTTTCTTCTTTTCCTCCTCTAGGCCTTTCTAATTCAACCTTCCACCTTTATCTCTTAACTTTTCTGTTGTCACAAATCTTTCCATTCTATCCCGTACGCCTTAATTCGACTCTCTATATCTACCCGTGACCCCACCTTTATTCCCTGTTTTACCTTTTCTGTCTCTGCCTTTACTTCTTACCGCCCCTCCTCTCTGCCTGCCTTTCCCGCTTTCTGATTTTCTCTCTTAACCTCAACCTTTATTTTTTTCTTTATTCCTCTCTATCTGCTTTTTCCTGCTCTTCTCCACTCCTCCTCCGCCTCCACGCTCTTTTCACCTCTATTTCTCTCCTCAAACACTTTTCCTCTTTAACTTTCTCACCAAAACTCGCGCTAACATCCAAGACACGTCCACACTCCCCTCGAGTGAAATTTAACCTCCTATTTATTAAGTTTTCTAATTTATTTAGGCAAAGTAGTTTCAAAACTTTCGGATATTTTCATTAATTGTGCTAAAATTATGTCTCTAATCAAAAAATATGCGGGAGGTTTCAGGGAGCTGCGAATTTTTCCTATCATTCTGTTATTTTCTTTATTCATTTATTTAAAAATTATTGTCTAATTTTCTTTCCTATGAGAAATTTTTTGGCTTCTAAAAGTGAAAACTCTTGGGAGAAATCGTGTCACAGTATGTAGATAAAATTCCGCAGCCTCCTTGCTCTATATCTAAACCTACTCAAAAAAACTTTACGACTTTTCGGAGAAAAATCAGAACGTGCGGGATAAAAAGAGCATTTGTTTCGACTTTGAAATCTTTGCCTTTCTTTATTTCAGCTCGAAATGCTCTCCTGATATTTACTTCCAGATTAAAACTTAAGTTACACGTTAGACACACACAAAAAAAAAACATTTTCGCTAAATTAAACGATGCAACGTTACAGTTATTAACTTGTTTTTTTCATGTCTCAGCTCTAATTAATTGGCTCAGTTTTTCTTTATGAGATAAGTCATATAAATCAGTGTACATTGGTAGTCAGTGTAATATTATCTGAACATTAATCATCTCAACTATATGGCCGTCCAAAATCGCCGACATCAGTTACTTATGAAAAAGGTCTTCAATCTCAGTTGATGATAGATTTAGTATTTACAGCGTACAAGATGAAGAAATGTTTACTTTGATGTATATGAAATACCTCCTTGTTTACCTATTATAATGTTATTTGTGTGTGTGTGTGTCTGTGTGTGTGTTTTGTAACGGGGTGGGAATCCGTTTTATTTCTTTGTTTCGCTCAACGCGCAATTGTACCGGAATGCGCGCAGCGAAATCGAAATATTCACGTTTGCTAACCGGAAAGCAGGAGGGAACGAGGATCAGTCAACCAACTTATTAATAATGATAACAATAAATTTCCGTTTCAATTAAACATGAGTTAGTTTATTTTCTGTGAGCGTGTTTATGTTTATACGGCGCGCGCATCAATAACATGCATCGTTAGTTCGCTTACAGTTCTTTGTTCGCAATGTTAATTCACATGCACGCTACCGATTTTGACAGAATCGCCGGTACAAGGGGATAGCAATTAAGCGCTGTCGTTTGTTAGAAATCGCGATGTAAAGCTGGCCAGCTTACTTTAGATATACGGTCGCACTATCAGGGGGGAACAAATCAGTATTGCCGCTTCCGGTATCTCAGGTTATTGTCTCTCTCTCTCTCTCTCTATGAAATGTTTCTTCTGTCGTGGGGTTCCACAATCTCGTGGTTAGCCTACGATGGCACTGTTTCACGCGCACTCCCAATGGCAACAACCGAGAAAATTTCGATGTAAACTATTAGCTGGTTTGCTTCCGCACTCTTTTGCTATTTGTATTCGTATTTTTCTCTCCTGGGCTGCTAGATGTTCGGATGGCTAATCCTCGACTGGTTTTTTTACCTTCGCGCGCGTTCCGTCCCGTCTCATACCGAGTTCCCGTTTTTCGTTTTCCCCGGCCGGTAGGTGCTACCCTCGTAGGCAGCTGCGTGATTGAGACGATAGCGCAAACAAGACGTTTACCGTCACAATATATATATACACACATACATACATATATAAAGATGCTAACATTATCTATTATGATTTTTTCTTCAGGTTTGCAATTGGTTTATCAATGCAAGACGGCGTATTTTACCAGAGATAATTAGAAAAGAAGGAAATGATCCTCACAAATATACATTATCTCGTCGAAATAAAAAAATTTCGAACATTTCTAATGAAAACGGAGAATTTATTTCAAGATCTTGTAGAACGTGGGAATCTTCAAATAGTGTAATTTCTGTGAAAACTCCTGTTAATCTCAGCACTCGATATGAAGATTTTGATTACAAGTCAGTATTTTACCTTTACTAAAACATTATTACAAATAAGTTTATGTAATTAGAAAGCTGCTCAACTGCCAGTAACTAAGAGCATTTTATTCTATTTTCGCCTTTTCGAAGCCCGGCACAATTTTCAATTATGAATATTTTTGAACGTACTCAAGCTCATTATTTATGTCTTTTCAAGATGAAAATAATAAGCTTTTGTGCAATGAATAATGTAAAAAATTGACAGAGTAACGATTTGTTAAAGGAGGTCGAAAAAATAAAAAATGGCCGTTTTAGCAATATTCGACAGCGATAAAACTTTTCTGGTAACTCCAAATTAGCTAAAATTTAACCAAATATTCTTTAAATTATACTGAAAAAAAGTACCAAATCAGTTTTTTGTGTGTTAGCTGAATAATATGTGATTTCTTTAATGTAAACATGTTGAATTATATAGTCAGCTTACAAAGAGACATTACACTCTCCGGGTAATGGATTTCTTTCAAACTTAGTATGTGGTCTTCTTTTGTGTAGAAATAGAAATGAAAAATCCTTAAAGAATTTATCGCCATAGAGTTTGTTTGGGAAGTTATTGATCCATATACATAATAGGTCGCCAATTCAAATTCCTTTTTAAACTCTTAGAAAAATAGAATAATTTTCCAATAGAAAGCTAAGATTAAATCCTTCTATTAAAAAAAATTATTTGAGAAGATTGAACCGTTCTAAAGTTATGTTGCAACAAAATTTGGTCAAATAATAAACTAAATAATAAGCTGCTTCAGATATTAGCATTTTACTTAAGATTTTATTCATAAACTTATATATGATATAATTTTGCAATAATACAATATTTTTCAACAAACTTTTTCTTAATAGATTTATTTCTCCAAGAGATATTAACGTTAAAAGAGGGGCATAAACTTGCGACCTAACGTATATTAAGTATGTTAAGTGCCGATAACTCTCAAACGAAGGCCTATGAGTATTTGAGGAACCTTTGAGGATTCTTCATTTCTATATAAAAGAAGGTCACTAACGTAGTTTGAGTGAAATCGATTACCCGGAGATTGTGATGTCCCCTTGTTAATTAAATCCGAGCAAGTTTTATCTACCGAATACTACAAATAATGTTTTTTGTAACATAGTTTCAGAAAAAAAAATTTATACTTAACCCTTAACTGCTATGTGGGGTAGATTTACCCCAGACAATTTTTAACAATAAATAAAATTTATTTATTTTTTTTTTTTTTTCAACAATTTTTTTCAGTGTATGTAACAATAAAAATTATTAACCTGAATATTTTTTTTGTAGTAAAAGGTTTGAAATATACTAGAAAAAATTTTCATAGCAAAATATCTAAAATTCTCTGATTTATTCGATGTTTTTCGGGCTGGGGTAGATTTACCCCACCGAGCAGTTACGAGGCCAAAATGAGATGTGCAAATTAAGGGTTAAAGTTTAATCTTACACAAATATACATTTTTCCATTTCTAGCATTAAATAAAATTTAAAATTTAAAACTTTTGTTTTGTTCCTTTTTACGGGATCTAATAATAATCTTTTTGAAGTGCAGATTTTTCATTTATTTTTTTTTTTTTTTATGAAACCAAAAGATTTATTTCTATTCATTTATATTCTATGAGAGTATTTGAAAACAATCACCTATTTCTATATGTGATCAAAAATAATTTTTACTTTTATATTAAGAGTTTATCTATGACAGTAGTAAAGATTTTTTCATTTATTTATTATAGATTATTAGTATAATATGAAAACATATAATGAAAATTAATAGAAGAAAAAATGATCTTTTTTATGAAATAATGCTGTTAGTAGAATTTTCATAAGAAAAATAATTAGTGATGAAAAAATATATTATTAATTAATATCTCTTCATTATTGACATTTTTCATTCTAAAAATTAATGATTAGAAGGTGTATTTGATATTGTGTTATCTTGACGATGGTAACATCTGTACCATTAGAAAATGGCCTCACTATCATTTTGAAACGTCACTTTCTCATGTCATCCAGAATCGTACATTAGAACAAAAACGTTATTGAAACAGTGATCAGATTCTCTGTTATTCAGCTATTTGACCTTATGCTTTTCTCTTATTTCTTCTAATAGTGAAATATGCTTAATGGAACTATGTGGTCTTCCAAATAGACTTTCTATTTCGTTTATTACCATATGTTTAGCAAAGTGCCAAAGAAACTGATGCGTCTACTGAGCTGAGCTCAGTAGCGTCGCTATCAATTCTTACAGACGTGTATAGTAAAAATTGTACTTGGGGAGCGTGAAACATATGATTCGGCTACTTTTGCTTAAGAGATTTATTCCTCTATTAAGTTGAGCTCGAAATCATGAAGGATAGGATAAGGTGACAAGTAAGGCCTGCAACTGATAAAGAATTATTCATCATGGGTGTTAGCTAGATTTTTATTCAAACAGAGCTCGTACCACTACTCGGTGAAGCCTCGGGCTCAGACTTCCTCGAGACAAATACGACGAGCATATTTATAGGTGCGAGTCGGAGCTATTTACTTTAGGTTATCTCCGCTACCTCGCCAGTACGCATAACATTTATTAACTCATATTAGCTGCTTAGGAGAAATAGGATTTTTAGCCTGGAGAAAATCCTATTTCGTACAAATATTTATTTCAGTAAAATTGTCAATATGAATTATCATAGAAGTTATAAATTATTCATATCTAATTGTAGGTCTAAAATAGTTTTGTTCCATTGAGCACATTTTACTATGTTTCTTTATTATTGTATGAAATTCAATCTATCTTTTAGTTCGTCAAACAGAAATGAATTTTCTTTGCTATAGTTATTTTGATAAGTTGCGCTAAATTATTAGTTATTATGCTTTTACGTTAAAATATCATCGTTTAATAAAATTCAGGTGTTCAAATTATATCCATTTTGGGAGTAAGATAATTATAAGTCCCTTTAAAGGCTTACGATAATATTTCCATTCAATTAAAGGGTCTTTGTTTTGAAAACTGTGTCGCCAGTTTAAAGCTCTGGCTACCTATGACGTCACGCTTCTTATTTGGATATGAGTTGACCATCTGTTTATGTTATGTAAAGTCCAAGATGCTCTGAGCCTTAATACTTTTTTACATTAAACGATGAGCATGCTATCTTCATACAGATGCTTTAATCGAGCAAATCACACTTGACCGTTACAATTTGATCTTTATTAATTGATTCAAACCTATGATAACCTCTAGTATTAGGTATCATTTTAACAGACTAGAATCTTTTATAGAGTTTCTTTTCTCTTGCTTCGACGTTCTTAGAAAGGTACCCAACCGAAACTCACCGATTTTGATAATTTTGATACATATTGTAGAACATAAAAAAAAAAGAGACACGTCTTTTTTTTATCGACTAATTTTTACTTTTAAGGGGTAAAAACCTCCCCTAAAGTTAACCCCCAAAAAGCGTTTTTTTTTAATGTCTCGGCTTAAATTTAATATTTTTCAGTGAAACAAATTGGAGGTTATTTCTTACAAAAGGAGCAAGTATTTCATGGTGATTTGAAGAGTAAGGGTAGCATCCCCTATTTTTTTAGGGATTGAAAACATATTTTTTGGCATAATTTTATAATAAAAAAGTTTAAACCGACTAAAAAAAATGGAAAAAATGTTTAAACATCCAAATAACAAAATTTAGTTGACGTCTTTCGATGTTTTAATAAATATTACCCCTAAGGGAGGTAAACCACTCCTAACACAAAATAACTGTAAATATGTAATTCAATACATAATATTTCGTAGAAAGTTTGTATATAGAGATTTTCGAGGTCGCTGATTACAAATCTGTTATCAGATTTCCAAAATTAAAAATGGCGGAACCAATATGGCGGCCAGAAATATCGAAAAAAAAATTTTATATAATAAAAAAGTTTTAAACGACTTAAAAAATTGGAAAAAAGGGTCTAGCCGGGTAAGATGGTCAAAATGCCCTTTGAGCCGTTCGGAAAAGTACATTATGTTTGGTATGTATAGAAACTCATTTTCTCAAATTTACAGACCCCTAGACCCACTCGTTGCGTGGGGGGCCCCATTTTATGTTTTTTGGTTTTTCAACGATACCTCAATCAATTTTTGAGCTAGGAAAAAATTGTTTTTTGGTTTGGTGGGGTTTTTGAGACCCCATCAAACCGTCCAAATGAAAAAATTTTTGGCGCCAAATTCAAATTTTTATAACGTTCTAAATATTTCAAAAATTTTCTTTTCGAAAATGAAGATATACTCCACCGTGGAAAAAATATATATTGTGTAATTATCTTCTAGAAATACGCTTATATTTTTTTCAAATTTTTAAAATATGTAGAACACCCCTAAAAAAATTAAATTCCATGAAAACATGGTTTTTCGCTTCTAGCGCCGTACATTTAAATTATACGTTAAAATAATTAGCGCCGTCAGATTCTACGTCAAAAAATACATCGAAAACATATATCACACATATATCATTAGCACCATTACATCATGAGAAATGAATGGAGTTCCGTCGCGTGGAAACTAAGCCAGGAGAGGACGCCACGTAATTAGAAAAAATTAACGTAATTAGGATACCTATATACATATTGGCTTAACTATACCTAACAGAAACTATAGCTTTAGTGCATGTAGGTATATGGGTAATTCTTGGCTATTTCGATTGACTTGTAACCCTTAGGTTACGGATTTTTTTTTCATTTGGCACAATTGTTGTACACATAAAACTGAGATTTTTCCCAAATGTTGGAGACGATACAATTATATCAAAAGTTATTAACAATTAAAGAAAAATGATAAAAAATTTTCAAACGGCTATATTTTAAAAACTAATAAAGATATCGAAGTCGGATTTTTTTCAAAATACTTATAATGCCTTAAAATTTCGAAATAATTACAACAATAAACAATAAAAAATTTTTTTCGAAAGTTATTAACTTTTTGTTTAAACAATTGCTAATATCTCAAAAAGTATATTTTTTTTTTTGAAAAATTCTT